TTGATGATTCAAACCTTCAAATGCACGGTTGTGATTCAGTTCTCCAAAAATTGAGAGTACAGAAAAATCCACCAGTTGAGACAGTGCTCCAACAGCTGTTAAACACACACCAACACTGCAATGAATTTGAAAAAACGACGCTCTTCAACATTGCTCAATTTTGCTATAAATACCTCAACTATTACTTGCTGGAACAGAAAGATCCCAATCCAATTATTGGCCATGCTAAATCATTTCCATTCATTTTCATTGAGGACCACTTTGTTGATGTGAAGGCAGTGGCTAGAAGTGAAGAATTTGAAAAGAAACCATATCTCTATGTGCTTCCAGTCATCTTCTCCAATTTTGAGAGTCTCTGGGACTGCCTTGGCATCAAAAAACAATTCACAAAAGAACAATTTGTTGCTGCACTTGAGGAAATGAAGGCTTTATATGGATCTCTTCCTCTTTCCATGTCAGACCTCCATAATTGTGTTGCAATACTCATGGATGGGCTGTACAACATCAAAGAAGAAAAGCTTACAAACTGTCTCATACCTGATGAGAGCGGTGTGTTGACATCTTCTAAAGAGCTGAGATTTAATGACAGCCCATGGATGCCTGTCTCAGCTGGTGTCAAGCTCTCCCATGAGCTGATACCTCGGGCTGTGGCCTGTCATCTTGGTGTAACGACAACAAGACACCATACTCTGAAGAATAATTTTGTCAGTGGGTTTTCCATTCATGCCAAAGAGTTTGGACAAACCGAGAAACTAACTGTCCGAATAAAAAATGTAATTGATGCATATCCATCTAAAAAGGATATTCTGAAAGAGTTAATTCAAAATGCTGATGATGCAGAGGCAACAGAAATTCACTTTGTGTGGGACAAAAGAAAACATAGGACAGAAAAGATATTTGGAGAGAAATGGGAACTGGTTCAAGGCCCATCACTTTGTGTGTACAACAACAGAACATTTTCTGACGCTGATTTGCAAGGTATTCAGCAGCTGGGGGAAGGAGGAAAACATGGCACTTTAGGGAGAACTGGGAAATATGGACTTGGCTTCAATTCAGTGTATCATCTGACAGATTGTCCATCTATCCTGACTGGTGATAAATGGCTCTGCATTTCTGATCCAAATTTAAAATACATGGAAGGTGTAACAAAACAGTCCCCAGGTCGCATGTTTTTAATGGAAGATGAATTTAAAAAGTCTTTTGAGGATGTTTATCATACCTTTCTTCCAGAAATGTTTGATCTCAATTCTGGAACCATGTTCAGGCTCCCTCTCAGGACAGAGATAATGGCAGAAAAATCTGAAATATCAAGACATACAGTCACAGATAGTGACATGAAGGAACTTTACTATGCCTTAACAGAAGATCCTGAAGGACTAATTCTCTTCTTGAAACACATCACAAAAATACAGTTTTCAGAGATTACTGAAGATGGAAAACAACCAAAATATTCTTTCCTTATCGAAAAGATATACACAGAGGAGAGCATGGTAAAAAAAGAAAACTTTCATAGACGCGTTAAAGAATCCCTCATGTCAGGAACAGCAGAACCCTGCAAAACCATCTATGACATGCAAATCTCATCTGGAAATAAACAAAGCAAGTGGGCCATTGCAGAGTGCTTTGGCTTCTCAAATCAAATCCATGAGAGAAAAAACACACACGATTATTTCAAAGTTCCTCAAGCCGCTCTGGCTGCATGTTGGAGCAGCTCATTTAACCACACATTTACTGGTATGGCATTTTGTTCTTTGTCCTTACCTGGACAAACTGGTTTACCAGTTCATGTGAATGCTAATTTTGAAGTTGATTCTTCTAGAAGAGACTTATGGAACGAGGATGGTGATAGTCTGAAGACTGAGTGGAACCAGTCGCTGAAAGTAAACATCATTTCACCACTCTATGCTGAACTCCTGTCACACATGAAGAAAGATACACCTACAGCTCTTGAATTCCTTGAGTCTTACCTCAAATACTTTCCATGCATTTCTCCAGAAGTAGACAAAGTCTGGCATGAGATGATTCTTGAGGTCTATAACTCAATCAAACAATTTCCTGTCATACCCACAGTACACGCTGTTCCGGTTGAGTCATCACATGTTTTACAAGATACAAATATACAAAAATACACAGTTACCTGGTGTAGTGCAACTAAACCACATTCAGAAAATTGTCCATATTTTACAACTGAGGACCATGATGGAATTTTCAAAATTTTAGATGACACTGGGATGAAATTAGTACCATACTCTTTGAAAATGCATGAAATAAAAGCACATTTTAAAGCAGCTGGTGTGAATGTGGCAGAAATCAGTGCTTCAACAGTGATTCATTTCTTGAAGCAAAGATCACTGAATGATCCTTCCCAGACAACTGGTAGTTTGCCATTGCCCATCAACCAGACCTTGATCAAAGACAAAACAAGATGCTCAAAACTTTTGAACTTCTGCTTGACAAATGTCAATGAGGAAAATGTCCATGTCCTCAATGGGTTGCCTCTTCTCCTCACAGAAGATCAGATGTTAAGAGTCTTTGACTCTAAATCCCCAAAGCTGATATCAAGATTTAGCAGTCTTTTCCAAGGACATCAGGAGGTGTTTGCAGATATTTTTGTCAATGAAAATCATGACCAAATTATGTATGATGGAATGTTTATTAAGGGCTTAACAATTGATATAGCAGCAACATATTTGAAACCAGAACTTGAACAACTGCTCAGGCAGTCATTACCTGATCAAAGATGCCAGCTCTACAAAGCAGAGGAAGAGACAATCAAATGGCTGAAAAATTTATGGAGCTTCTTTGATGATCAAATGAAAAGCTACCAAAATGAAAATCTGAATGTATTCAGTGAGATAAAAAAGCACTTTGACGACAGTCCTATCTTACCGGTAATCTGCCCCAGTCAAAATAACACACATTTCTTACAAACAATAAATAACATATCAAAAGTTATTCAGTATAAAAATGGAAAAATAGCATCCGTTCTCATAAAACTGGGGTTCATGAAAATAGACCGTGTCTTTTTCTCTGATCTCAGTTTTGAATTCGGTCACAAGTATATGTATCCAGAACTCCTGCAAACAGGAGACAGCCGTGGTGTTTTAGGACAGGTTTATCATGTACCACATTCACAGTTTGAGGAGCTGTCTAAAGATGAATGTATAGATCTTCAGTGCTTCTTACAGCATGGGATCAGAAATTCCAATAACAAGAGTCAATATGTGTCAATGCTCAAGTCCTTGCCCCTCTTTGAGTCAATATCTGGAAAACGGGAAAGGATTGATTTACACAGTAGGGTATTCATTCTGGATTCTCAGCATCAGAATGACTTTCCAAATTTGTACCATGTCGATGGATGTGACAGTATCTTCCTCAAGCACTGCGGGTTCAACTTAGAATTGGCAGAACAGCTAGAATTTCAGATTCTGAATGATTTGGAGTTCTGTGTACAGTTCATTCTTCCTTCTGTGCACAAGATGAAAGAGGCCAAGCTTCTTGATTTCATGCGGTTGTTAGTGGAACTTGGATCAGTGGATCACAGGATTGTCTCTGCCTTGAGAGAGGTCAGATTTATTCGAGACATCCATGGCTCTCTTCAGGTGGCTTCATACTTCTATGATGACAATGTACACATTTACAGGGCAATGCTTCCAAAAGAGAGATTTGTGCCAGAAACGTTTTGGGACAATTTCCAAGATAAATGTACTGAAGCATATTCTTGCTTAAAGGACCTTGGATTGAAACATGAAGTGTCTGATGAGGAAATCATTGAGTTTGCAAAACAAATTGAATCTGAAGCTAGAGGCAACATTCCTTTAGCTGTTCTCAAAAAAAGATCACAACTCCTGTTTGAGACTGTTTTATCAAAGAGTAATGAGAAAAAGCCTGATTTACTGAGCAGAGTTGCTAACATTAAATTCATCTTCCCAGTGCAAATTCATCAAACCCTTTGTGATTATCACAAGGCCTTTGCTCATGAGAGGGAGGTTGTTGCAATCAATGGATCACTCATTGGCAGAGACAGTGATTACCAATTTCTGATATGGACATCTATGCCAATAATACCCTTAGAAAACTGCTCTCCACAACACCTAATGAAAATGATGGATGCAGGAGCCTTGGAGACTCCACCACCTGGAGAATTAGCTGCTAATCTAAAAAACATCTGTAAATCTCAGTGCCACACATACATACTGCAGAAAACAAGAACCAAGGTATTTATCAAATCATATGCATACCTGCAGTCAATACAGTTTGATGCCTCTCTGTTCTCAGACCTCCCCATTATCCTTGCGGAAAATGGCACAATACTTGTGAAAGCTTGCCAGACAGTACTTATGCTGTTTTGTGCTCTTGAGTTTAGGCCTTACTTGTACAGCATTCCCTTAAATTATATTAAATTTGAAGACTTCTTCAAGAAGATTGGCGTAGAGGAAAGGCCCACCATTGACCAATATATCACTGTTCTTCAAGAAATCTATTCAGATAGATCTGACAAAGACAGCCTTCAAGCAAATCAGCAGAAAACTGTGAAACGTGTTGTACAACAGCTATTTTGCCTGCTGAAAAAGGAACAAAACAAATCTCTTTTTCAAAACAGCCCACTTTATCTTCCTTCAACAGATGGAAGACTATATGAATCCAACACTTTGTTTTTCAATGACACCATCTTCCAGGCCACAAGACTCGAGGGTCCTTTGGAAAACAATCCGAAACTGCTGGAAAAATTAAACTGCTGCCATCTTGGAAATGATCACTATGAACATCAAACATTGTTGCAGTTCCTTCCAGAGCATGTTCGCCCCAAATTTCTCTCAGATGCAATTTCTGAAAACCTGGATGGAATAAGTGTCCAATATTGCGATTATGAAGGGGACTGTGAATTTAGTGGCTGGTTTGACAAACACTTGTCTTCCGATGAATTTCTTCATGGACTAGTCTGTCTCATCAGAGAAGAGAGCAAAGGCAGGGTGTCACATTCTGAAGCTGAAGAAAAGTGTGAAGAAATATTTTCTAAGGTTCAAATCATCTGTTGCAAAACTCTTCAAACTGAGCTTCTGTTAAACCATGAGCCACTAGAGGGTAGTAAGGCTGAAACAGATGTTTATGTGAAGAAACAGCTAAATGGATGCAGTTTCTACATAAAACACAATGATGACAGGGCCCTCAAAGTAGTAAATGAAGTTATTATGTGTCTTACTAAAGATATCAATGCTCTTCTAAAGAACTGTTTGACCACCTCAAGCCTTCTAGTCCTTGGACAACTTTTGCTGTGTGATAACATGGAAGATGTTGAGAAAACCTTAGCAAATCATGGCATTCATAACAGTGGTCACAAGGAGGAAGGACACGGTTCCTTACCGAAACCTGGATGTCATATACCTGAAGAATGGCATGACTGCCTTGACATGAACTTCCTCAACAACTTTGAAAGTGGAGATTATGTTGGCTTCAGCAAGGATGAATTTGGTGAATATTTCTACGCCATTATTATTGAGCGAGTGGATGATTCACTGGGACAAACAGGACCGTTTCCTGCCAGGTATAAAATTCAAGTTGGCAGCGATGACTTCATTGAAGTAAACTCTCTTGACCTTTACCAATTTAAAAGGGAAAAGATGACAACTGCTTCAAAAGGGTCCACTTGCATAGATATAGAAAGTCTTTTGACATCTTGGCCTCCACCTAAAACCGATTTTCCTGAGTCATTGGAAGAGATCAGAAGAGAAATTGACCAAAGTTTAAATGAAATCTGGAATATGTCAAGTGAGGACAAACAAAAAGCTCTTAAACGTCTCTACCTCCACTGGTATCCAGATAAGAACCCTGGAAATGAAGCACTTGCCGCAGATGCATTCAGATACCTGCAAAAGAGAATTGAGGAACTACAATGAGGGGAAACTGCACAGAGCACATCAACAGACCAGACAAACTTTCAAGATTTCTATGATACGTGGAACACAGAGGCACAAAGTCACAGGAGGGGACGCGAGAGGTTCTATCAGAACTATTCTAGAAGGCACTATAACTTTTGGTCATACCGCAGAGAAACTCCAAGGCCTAACAGAGGGGAGGCAAAACGCTGGTATGAACAGGCTCAATGTGATATCAAAGCAGCTCACAATGACACTGGAGGAGAAAGCTCAGAGTGGTGTCTGTTTAAAGTGCATCAGGTTGTGGAAAAAGCCCTGATCGCAGCGATGTACAGGGGAAGTGGCCATCAACCTAAAAACTGCTCAATAACTAGCCTTGCTCAACAGGTGTCCCATTTCAGCTCACAGTTGACTTCTTTACCAAACTATGTGAGGCAACTGACTGAACTTGGTGTTGATGGCAAAAAAACGTGATATCCGAACTATCACCAATTTCCTCACATTCCAAACAAGCAATTTAGCATTAATAATGCCAGAAGGGCACTGGATATTGCAACAAAGCTTTTAGAAAAAATAGAAGAATACATCTCTTGAAATATTTTGAAATTACTGTTCCGTAGAGGCGACTAGGATCTTTTTGGTACCTATTTAGCACGGCTAACATGCATGCTGGAAATTCTTAAACCTTTGTATTCATGTTTTGATACTTGTGAACCTGGTTATCCTTTTGCTTACTATTATATGCAACATTTATATTATTCCATACTGGATATTCTTGTAGCTAACAATAGAGCATGGCATTAGCAATGGCAAGGTCATGGGTTCAATTCCCAGGATTTAATTAAATAACATGTTTATCTTAAACACGATGTAAGTTTCTTTCGATAAAACTGTCTGCAAAATGTGCATTAAAAGTCACACAAGAATTCAAAATGTCAATGTCCATCATTTAAAAGCATGGGTTTTATTAAGAAATATTAACAGAAGTCAAAAGCTGTTTCAACCAAATATTCACTAAATGACAAAAATTGAACAGTCACACAACCATCCTGCAATAGAGACGCTGTATGTACTTTACAATCCTTGCAGCAAAACCACTTTTTGAGTCTATTGCAATATAAAATATTACATGAATAGTGTCTCATATTGTTCCCCTTACTGTTTGTGAAATTAAACTTCGATTTGAGCAGCATCTGGTTTCCTCCATGCCACTGCAAAACCATGCCAAAAGTATTTGTAGTTTTCTGGTGTCCCAGTAATAACTTATTACACAAATTCTGTACATAATTACAGCAGGCACACTGCCTGTCCTTTACGTAATGAACACAATAAAAGAAAGCAAGCATTGTTAAAAGTGGTCTTTACAGTGCTAGGCAATGCGGTGTACAGTGCGTCTGAAAAATACAAGCAAATATCACACTTTAACACAGTAATGAAAAGCCCTCACCCGCAGTGGTAATTTTTTCCTGAAATAACGATCTCATCTGTTTGGCATGTTTTAATGAATTAATGGAAAAGGCTACTTTCTTTTCAATCAGTAATATGTAGGAGACTAAAAATGTCACCTTCATACATTCATCTGCAGGAATATAAGATAATCTAGTTGTGAACGGTGATGTCATACTGTAAAAAATAGTTCAAACTTGAAATGCTGTGAATAATGGACATTTGAGCAGAAATATTTTTCAGATTGGGACTTGGTTACCTGAATAAGACTCTTCATCTATTCACTGTTATTACCCTGATTCCTGTAGACCTTCAGTACTGCTTCCTTGCAAACAAAGACTTAGATATCCATTTCTCCATCTTATATCTATCCTTATTGCCACCTGGTCTCCAGATAAAACATTTATCAAAGATTTGTGTGTTGATGTAAAAATAGAACAAACCAAACAAAAATTGGTTTAAACTTTTTTTTATAGCTATAACATTGGCGATAGTAATGCATTGAAATGAAGTGCATTACACATTTTCACATGCCCTTGAAATTACAAAGACATAGTCCTGCAATCTGGATCCTGTTTTGACATCAGGCACTCCTCTGCCCTTTTGGGCCAGTCCTTCTCACACACAGGGAACATTCAGCACACATGTGTCGTATGTGCAGGACAAGTGTGCTTGAATAAAAACTGAGCTCATAAGGGTGTCACACAAGAAAACAGGAGATGAAATCAAGTCATTTGCCCTGACCACTGAATCAGAGTTTTATTTGCAAGGCATTCTGACAGTTTGATATAAAAATAAACTGCATAGCTCCATCAAGGACTCTTCATGTTTGTGGAGGAAGAGGCAAGCCTGTCCAAACTTCCCCCTAATGCTTCCTTTGTAAATTTGCATATGCAGATATTCCTGACATCTGGTTCCTCCTCCATGTCACACATTCTCACATGTTGTAGGCCACATATATAGGGTCCAGCTGGTCAGCATGCATGCGCTGCTTCTCCCCTCTGGAGTTGATAGGAATGACTCCATGGTCCACCACCACAACGACCCCCACTATGAGATAGTGCTCTTCCAGAACCACGTTGGTCACCAGAGCAACAAGGTCCAGGGCTTCCTGTTCTGACCCCTCAAGCTCCACGACCACCACCAAGAGATTCGTCCATGTGAACACAGCACTGAGGAGAGAGTGAGAGAAAGTGAGGAGATGAAAGGTGTATTGAATTATGAAAAGCAGAATACTGTATCTATACTGTAAAACATGGCTAGTTTTGTACAACATGGGTATACAACATGGCTTTGTATTTGTAAATCAAATATAAAGTGTAACAAAATGAAACATTTCATACAAGATATTAATACGGGGAAAAAAACTGTCTCCAGAGTCAGACTTGGTCAACAGCATTCATGGCATACAGTTAATTATCGCAGAAATTTTGTTGACTAGTCCTGTTTGTCTTTCTAATGTTAGCTGACTACATGATAACGAGTAGGCATCCCTTGATAAAGAAGTGGACTTAATTGTATTTAATGTGCACTTGTAGTGTGCTTTAAATCTTGAAAGATTATTTAAAAAACTACATGCAGATAATATAATATAAATGAAATAAGAGGTCACTTGAGTGTACTTAAAGAGAGCACACTTGCATGACTGTTTCACACTGAAGTACACATTTAAAAAAGTGCACTTTTTAATAATGTCAAATTAGAAGTTTTTTATTGATGTGTTGACTAACATGTTAAACACAAGCACACTATTAGTATATTTCTAAAATGTATAGTAGAAATACTGTTAATTAATATATTTTTAGTTACACTTTTAAGGGATATACTAAACACAAGTATACTTTTAGTGACTTTTTAGTGTATTTACAGAAAACATACTTATGTTACCCTTACTTAAAGTATATTTTATGTCTACTTTGTGTAAGAACATAACACAATGATTACACTTTTAGTGGGTTTTTAATGTACTTTATATTGCAGTAGGCCTACACATGGTTATATTTTAAATATTTATGTATTTATAATTTTAATATTTGGAAAAGTACAATATTTTGAAAAACATTTTTAACATTTACAATGTACAAACGTTTGTCAACTATTATTAAGCATTGCAATATTTAAAATATGTTGTTTAATATGTTGTTCAGTTTTACTAAAGGTTATGCTACTTTGGTTGATTAGGCTGTTGTTCATTACATGATACATTAATTGTAATAAGCTAGGTGTTTATAAATTTGTTCAAGCTTGACGCCTTTATTTTCTAATATATATTTCTGAAATTCCCACAAGGATTTCATCATATATGAAAAAATAAATAAATAAATAAATAAATAACTTGCGTTTACTTGTGTTTAAATTCAAACAACACACTGACTAAACCTGATTGGTTCCAGAGCCATTGAACGGCTCTGATTGGTTCGTATGATAATGAGCTCACCCCAGAGAGCTTCATATATAAAATATGATGTGCGTGCAAATGTCTCTTGAATGTGAATATAAGTCTAAATTTAAACAGTATTATATAGAGCGGTCGCCGATCGTGTCTCTTTAGGGCACTTGGAGGAAACCACGCAATTCATATGGCTTACTTTGGCGATTTCAACTTTTTGAAATGTGAACATCTTTGGTGAATCTTCCTTCATCAAAAAATTTATAAAATAAAATTTGTCATTATAACATGTACAACATTAACATTATTTTATTTGCAAAATGAAGTTGTGTATTCATTCATTTCTGATTTCCTGAACAATTTGTAATGAGGTTAATGATCTTTGAAAAACCATGATTATGAACATACAATTACTTTGTCTTGAGCTGATTAGACAACTGTGGTAGTGTTCGTTGATTGGTGTTTATTTGTTCAAGCTTGACAACCTTATCGCCTTTATTTTCTAATATGTACTTCTCATTACGGATAAGAACAAAGATTAAATTGTAAGAAGGGTTGCTTATATGAGTGCATATAGTACATCTGAAACTGGGAAGGTTTTTGACTATATTACCGACCAGGTACATACCATCTCCTAGTCCACCTCCAAAACCCCCTCCATCCCTCCCTATTCTGTTGCTTGAACTTTATCATCTTCAGTCTTTGCACACACACAGCTATTCACTCATGGACTTTGTTTTTCAGTCTTTTTTATGTCTCTTTTTTTCTTCAGAAAATTGCATTGTAATTTTTATTTATTCGTTGATGTAAAATTCTGTACTTTTTAGTAAGGCCGGTATAACTGAAATGTTCTACAAATGGAAAAGATAGCTCTGCCATAGCATTTCAGTCTTTTTTTATTCGTTTTTTTATAATGTATTAAAATGTACTTGAGTATGTTTGTAGTAATACAAATATACTACACTCTAAAAAATGCTGGGTTAAATACAACCCACTGGGACAAACCCAGCAATTGGGTTGTTTTGACCCAGCAGTTGGGTTACTACCCAGAAGGTTGGGTTAAACATTTAACCCAACCGCTGTGTCAATGATTAGGTCTGATATCCTACACTGCTGTCCTTTTTTAGTGTACTTTATGAATATTTGTAATGTACACAACAATATATAATACATTCAAGTTTTCTAGATATCAAAGTGTGTACGTGTGTGTATATACTGAAAAAAGCAGCTTTATAATATACTAGTAGTGTAATGCTAATGCATTTCCAATGAACTGAAATACAATTGAAATGTACTTGAAGTACATTAAAACAATGCTTCAAATATACTCTAACTGTAGTTCATGAAGTATTAAAAGGACATTTTAAATGTATTTTAAGAAATACACTTAAATTGCACTAAATATACTCAGTGGTTCCAATTTAACACAATTTCAATATATTAAATATATTACAAATAGATTAAAATCAAACTTAAACATATCTTGAAATACAATTAATATACTTAAAGTTGATTCAAAATAATAAATTGAATATGCACTTAGTATAGTATAATTTAAATATAGTAAGTATGTCTGAAAAAGCACAATTTAAAT